TACCAGCAAGCCTCACACATTAGTTGACAAAGGAAAATGTTGAAGCTTACCACAGCTTAACAGACAAAAATGAGCAACTTCTTACAAGAATAATTTTCCTGAGCAAAAATATTGACATGATTCTGATTAAAAATTATCCTGACATATGACCAATTCATATAATTTATTAGGAAATAAAGAAATGCAATAACTACTGTAGGTGTTTTGAGGATGAAATCCATGCAAATAATGGATTAAAAATTTTGCTGTTTAGGAACGTAACATCACACAAGATCCATAAATCTCTACAGCTATTTGGCTTTGTTTTCTGACTCTTTTAGGAAGGAAAATGAAGGTAGCCTGCAATGTTCTTAATGAATTTGGCACTGTTTCTGTAAGTAGATAAGCTAACACAGATCTCTCAGCCTTTGCAGAGGCTGAAATACTTACCAGTGTGTCCATTTGCAAGAATAAGACCTTATGCTTTAATCTATCTCCAGTCCAGAACTATTAATTAATTTCTCAGAACTGCATTATGAAAAGGCAGAACTGACAGTTCAAAACTTGAAGTAACTTCTAAAACAGCTGAGTAAGACTGTGAGCTTATTCATTTAAAAAATACATGTGACATAACAGTGCAATAAAAAATTAGACTATTTCCATTATTAGAAGCTTGTAAAAAGCAGCCACTCTGTGCAGTAAGATCAAGACAAAATTATTATTAAATGTAACAATGTACTGCATTTAATCAAGTCTGTTATACTATTTGCTGCTGCACATGTTGAAATCCCACTGAAGTTAAAAAAATGTCAATGCCTAGGTGCTGTACTGTATTAACTGTGTGAACATTTATTTGGAGGAGAAAATACAGCAATTTAAGGGCCTGCTGATGCCAGACGTGCATCATCAGATCCAAGCAACTGCTGCATAAAGATAGTTAGACAGACCTGTTTGCTGGAGACCCTAGCTGGACAGGGCTACACAGTATTCTAGGTAGTGAAACTACTTTGACATCAGAGTGTCATCACCTGCCAAATCAGGTTTCAACCTTTAAACTGTACCCCCATAATTTCCCATATAAATGGTTGCAGTTACAGAAAAAATACACACATGGAGTTACTGCAGCATTAGGGTTCTGAATGTAAGCACACCACTATGCTTTTCTGTGTAGCGCAGGCCTAAAATGCTGTATTTTAAGCTGGAGATTTTAGGATTCTGCTCCCTGACAGCCCAAGAGCTTTCTAAAAAGAGGAATCTGGTATGCTTTGGGAGTTTACACTCTTGATAGCATTGCTATACCCAGTTTTCAAAACAAAATCTGACGGTTTTCTAAACATTCTGTTATCTAGGAGACACACTCATTAATATAAGGAATGCTGTTTCTTGGCACAGGTAAGACTTGTGCCTTTAGACCATGTTTGCTCTTTGCATTTTTGCTTTATCTGTCCACAGACAATCTTCTACGTCCTTCACTGAGAAGTGGATTGTGAGGCTTATTTCTTAAATATCTCTCAGATTTCGACACAGGACATGAAAAGTAATTATTTTTTTTTTTTTATTTACTTTTAGGCAAACTAAACTCGAGCATGTCTTTTAGCTGGGGAACTCAGAACGTAAATCCAGAATCATTTCAGCTTCTCCACAGAGTCAGGTTTCTGTGCCAAAACAAAGCACTGCTCAAAGCAGCACGCCACGAAAAGGATGGACGACACTGAGCAGACCTGCCTGAAGAAGCCCCTGGAACTCGAAGTGCCAAGAAGAGGCGTGATGCTTGTCCATTATTTTACCCGTTAGCCAGCGAGCGAACATTAGAAGAAAGATATAAATTCCCAATTCAGAGAAAAAGACGTTACTTCCCCCCAAGCACCCTGAAATATGTTTTACTGGTTCAAATGTATTTTCCCTTTACTCTTTCACAAGCATAAAAGGACACCGCACAAGGCAATTGCTCGGTACAGCTAGAGTTACTAAAAAAACACGGCATTCCTTCCTCTAGAAGGCTGGCTGCACTACCGATGCATTTTTCAAGAACACTTCGCTGCGTGGAACGCCAGACACGCAAGAACTGACCCATCGCACAGAGACGCGCCGGCCGAGGGCGCCGGGGCTCCCGTGGGGACAGCCCCGGACCAGCGCCTGGGGCAAGTTTTCCAACCCCGCGGCCGCGCTGCCTACTGGGGGCCACCGCCAGGGGCGGAACGGAGAGGGTCTAGACGAGACGAGACGGGACAGGACGGCTATATTCGCCCCCCGCCCCAGAGTCCCCTACCCCGTCCCCGACTTGCGCCTCAACTCTCCCCCCGCCACGCCCCCCTCACCGGCGATCCTGAGGCAGGTCTCCGGTGCGGCGGGGGGTGGCTGCCGCAGCTCCACCTCGCCCCCCGCCGCCCGCGACACCGCTCCCCGAGTTCTCTTCAGAGCCGGCGGGGCCGGGGTTGCCCGGCGCCGAGCCTCGGACCAGCTCTTCCGCTTCATGGCGGAGGCGGCCGCGCCGCTATGGTGGGTGCGAGGCGGCCCTTCTCATCGCCGCTGCACCGCTCCCCGCGGGGTTCGGGCCGCCGGAGGGGAGGGACCCCGCGACGGAGGCGACGGCTGATGCCCCTCCCCGCACACCGCCCCATGCACCTACGGCCCACCCCGCCCCGAGCCAGCGGCAGCTCCCGGGCCTCTTTCCCAACCTCCCCCCCCGCCCCCCCATTCCCCCGCCTCTGATTGGGTCAGCGCGGTGTGGCGTCACCAGCGCGGAGCGGCGGGGACGGTGATGTCATAGTGGCTGCTGTAACAGGTGGGGTGGGGGGCGCGCTGCGGTGAGGAGCTGCTGGCGAGACGAGGGGCGACGGCGGCGGGACCCGGAGGAGGGGGGGCCGCGCCCCGGCACCGGCCGGCAGCGCCTCTGCGCCGGGTGCAGCCGCTGCCTTTGGAACAGGGGGTGTTCGGTTGCGCGTCTTGGGGCGTCGCGGCCTTCCAGGTGCCTGTCGCGACACATGACAAACGAGGGTCCCACGGGGACATGACATCGAGTAAGGCCAGCTGAAACGGGCCCCGTGCAGCCGTGTTCTAGTCTGATCATGGAAGGGATTTATCTGGCAAGTTGAACCAACCGGGCTTGAGCTTGCTTCTCAGGTGCAACGATTCCTTAAAACTTTTAAGTAGATGTTGGGGTAAATCAAGCTTTTAGTTAAAAAAACTTTGGAAAAGTGCTCCCTCCCATCCGTGTCTAATTGGCCATGACAAAAGCCTCTGCTGAAGTATCCTGCCATCAGTATGAAGTCAGTGTTATTCTCCCACTGTTTCCCACTTCGCGCTTCATAGCTAACTTTTCTAAATGACACCAGAGACCTAAAATTCTGCTGAGGCTTTGAAACGCATTTCTCCCATGGATGAATGGGGCCATGGTTCCTGTTTGCTGTGTACGTGGGAATCATTTTATCACAGGGCACCAGTGAACTTTGTAGAGCTGTGGCCAAAATCAGGATTGCTCTTTTGCAGGATCCTCCTCTGTGCCTTCTTCCCTGGTTTTGTTTGTCTGCACTTTGTGAATATTTCTGAAGAAGTGATTTTGATGGGGTAACACAGAGGTTGTGGTATGGTTCCTGTCAATATTGAAGCAGTGCGGGCAGATGACTTCAGACTACAGAGCTGTCAAACTACAATTCCATTAATTCCACTCCATTTTAAAAGTCCACAGTTGTTTTAGCTGTAGTTAGTTGTATTTAATGTATGAGTGGCAATAGAACTTTTACCACTGTATATTAATTCTACTGGAAGTAAAACAAGCAGAAAAACATGTAGCCAAACATTTTGTTTAAAATCAAAAGCTCCGAGAATATGCAAGTGAAATGATTGAAGAACAAACCAGTCAGTCTGTGCTCGGCACTGATGATCAGGTGAGTGAAGCAGGGTGGAAACACTACAAATAAACTGAGTAGCATTCTTTCTCTGTGAAAAGAATTTACATTTTCTGCATGTCTTCATTTTACAAACATAACACCACTTTTCTAGCTTGCTTTCTGCTGCGGCAGAGGCAGCTGCGTTCCAGACTTTCAGACATGCTCAGTAGGTGGAGGGAGCGCTGGAGTGAGAGGGCAGCTTCTTATTTATGAATGTGCAGGCAGCAGTTCACAGAAAGTGGAATTTACTCTGTGGTGAGCCTCAGCTGCTGGTCCGTTACACCGAGTTTTGAAGAAGCATCCAGCCAGCCCTGACATCAAACTGGTTCAGTCTGCACAAGACTGTTTAGCCCTGTGCTGATTAGTCACAGCAGAGAACTGAGCACATTAGCTTTACATTAACAATATTTTTCTTCTGAACACACTGTATCAAAATGTATATGTAATAAGATCCTAAGGTGTAGTACCTTTAATGGCATTACATTGCCCAGTACCATCGTGTTTCTTAAGCAAGCCTTTTATTTTTTGTCAAGGAACACTGCATTTAATTGCACATGCTCTTAATGGTAGAGCTCTCCAGAGCTTATTCTGGGCCTGACAGTGACCTTAATGATGCAGGGACAAACCTCCTCATACAATACAATTTTGCAGTTCTAGTTCCTGTTAAAGCTTAATAGGGGAGAGAATTTGCAGGTAAGATACATATGATTAGTAGCATTTTAGTGAAGGCCAAAGATCAGAAACTGCAGAGGAGGATATGCTCCTCCATAAATTCTGGACAGTCTGTGTTAAATTACTGAAAAGATGTGGCTCATCTGGCCAAAAAAAGAGGGCACATCTACTTCAATGAAAACTAGATTCTGAACATAGACATTTCTAGAAAAATGAAATCTGACAGTACTGCAAGCCAAAATACTCACTGCCCAACTGTCCTTAGCTCAGTTGTCTAGGACAGAAATAACCAGGGACATTTTTTCAGAGACCTCTTTCTCTGAGAGAAAGTACATATATAGAAGGGAGAATACTCTGCTACAAGTCTTTGTAGGAAAAGAAGTAATTACCTATGGCCTACTCGAAACACAACAATCTGATGAGAAATATATTTAAGACACACCTCCCCTGGTTTTACGGACTCACCCTTTTGTATGACACAAATGAATTGCAGACAATGGATGATTTATTTAAACTATTTATTTAAAACTATAAAATGTATTTCATAATGTATGCCAGTGCCAGATGCAAAGGTAGGCATAAGCTTAAGTGCCAGTGTTTGAAACCATGATTTTTCAAGGTATACTTTAATACACGAGTGTCACTCAGTGATGGAAGCTTTAAAACACTCGTGAGAAGTACGGGGTTGAAAGCCAGTGTGATCTGCTGAAAGTGAGAACCCCAAGTTCTTCCTGAGCAAAACCAGATTTTTTAGTTTAGTGCATCTTGAACAAAGATTTTAAAAAATACAGTAGCAAGATTAAGGAAATAATAAGGTATGGGATTTTATTTTTTTCAATAAGCCTCAATTATCTTTTTGGTTTTATCTTACATGCAATGGAAATAGCACTTTTGTGTCCATCCTCACTGCCAAGTAGTTTGTTTTGTGCTCTGATTTTCTAGATCAGGTTACAGATGACCCATAAAGACACAATAATACTGATGCTGGTGGAACATCACCAGGAAATTATTCTTGTAGTGTACAAATAAATAAATATGTCAGTGTCATATGTCAATAATCTGGGGTTGGTTTGTGAAATTTACTGTTTTAACTCCTGCCAGCTGCAAAATTGTGTTAATGGGAACATGATCCAGCCTGTTTTTATCAAGGTGCACAAAATGAACTTCATTGCCTGGAATGGAATGAGAATAACATGTAAATAGTTGAATAAAACATTTATTCAAAGGTGTAAGTGACTCAAAGAAGCATTCTGATTCCCTACTAGTTCTTACACAAATGTGTGCTAGCTCTGTACATGGCACAGTATACTGTATGGTAAACAATGACAAAGGTTAGGGGTTTTCTTAATGAGGTTATAGAAGCAAGGAACATTGAGGCATCTAACTGAATTAAATCTTCTGTAGCACGATGTTTCCTAACGATGTGATGACTTTGTCATGTTGCAGCCCCCCACCTCATTCAGGCATTATTCCTCTACACATTAAATGGCTAGAATCAAATGTGAAAGCATAATGTAGGTGAACACCACAATGTCAAAAAACCCTCAAAACTTCAAGACAGTTGTTCCACCAGCACTCCTATCAATTCCTGCAGGGCTGTGATCAGCTTTGTGCCATCTCTGTGGGAGGTGGGACTACACCGTAACACTTCCACAGGTTCCTTCAGCCAACAAATCACACAGTCCAGATCTCCTTGGGATCCACAGGGACAGCAGCTGAGATGCTGGGATTAAAGTGAACAGCTGGAGGAGAATACTGTAACTTTCACACAAAACAAAGCAGCGTACCTGGGCCTAAAATCAAAGCTCCTCCCTGCTGAGCGGGGTCTCCTTGAAAATCAAAAGCCGGGCCAGTCATTGCTCTCCACATACTCCTAATGCTTCCCAGGAGTGTATTTGATTTAACATGAGGGCTCCGCACTGAACAAAAAGGCAAAATATTTTTTATCTAAAATTCAGAAGTATGTAAGGAGGACAACAAAAACTGAAGCTGCTACAAATAGTTCAGAGTTTTCTGATCAACAGCACTTTGAAAAAATACAGCCTACAAGAGGCGAGATGGAGGGCAACTCCCTTCCTATTTACATTGTGATTATATCATTTTATCAGAGCATTCTGGCCTTGTTCTGTGTAAGTCCAAACAAGGGGAGAAAATTATTCTTACCTGATACGTTATTACCTTCACCTCTTTTCATGCCAAGAGTTTTATAAATTTCCCTTTGTGGATCTACATACATTTCATGTGTATACCCAGTTAAATTGCAAAAGGGCTGCAAAATACATGCATACAAGAAAAAGTAATTTTTTTAAGGTTAAGATAGTAACTAGTTAGGATCTACAGACAGTGGAAAAATACTGACACCCCGCCATTCTCCCAGCTCCCTTCCCCTCCCCACCCCTGATCTGGAAACCTGTAAATTTGTCATGTTATAATAAAGGCAAAAAAAAGTTTTATCCATGAAGCTTTTACTAAAACAAAACTTCCAGTGAAATCAAGAAAATGTTTCCTTTGCAAGCCCCAGCTTTTTTTAAACAGAAAATTTTTGCTCTTTGCTTTCTTCATGTACTACCTTTAGAATTGCTTCGTGAAAAAGAACACTGTCTTCTCTTTTTCCTGTGGCTGCAAATCTTTTCACTCAGAGCAAAATTCCTTAAATGCAAACCATTAAGACACAATAGAGGATAAAATATACTGAATGACTGTTTACCTTGATATGATGGTAAGATGACTGTCCAATAACTATAAGCCTCACATTTGCCTCCTAGAACAAAACATTGGCATTGAAACTGTAAACAGGAACTTGGTGTTTCTGCAGGGGTACAAAGCATTACAGAATCTGGCGTCCTCAGTTAATGATCACTGAGTTAAAATTGCTTGAAACTAACATCACTTACATGTTTGGAGCTTGCACTTTTGCCTGTCACCCACAGTCAGCAGCTACATTAATTAATTAAAAATATATTTTTGAAGATAACTTTTAAGTTGCCGATATGTGAACTTTTAAGTTTTCTGTAGCATTAGTAGGGCCAGCTTTTCAATTGATTGCAACCTGCAATGATTTTGGAAATTCAAAATTTCCACTCAGTTGCACCTGCATCTAAAGAAGCAGCATGCAAATACTGATACACACGCTTCTGTGATTTACATATATGGATGCCCATTAATAGATACAAATTGTATCCGCACATACAGCTTCTTTTGCAAGTCCAGCATTAGGCTTGAGTCTAAAATAGAGGCCAGAACTTCATTCAGATGCCAGTAAAATGGTTAATAAAATGTAAGGCTATTTTAATATTAGGGTGTAGTACTTGCCTTTCCCATATAGAAACATTTTGCTTGTTAAGAAAAGAAGCCCTCCTGAAAACATAATACTCACACTAAGAAAAGCATGGATGGTTTTGATTCTCTGTATACATTTATTTGAGCAGCCAAGCTAAGAAAATGCCATTCTGAGTAACACTGATTGAACAGTTTAGAAAAAATCTGTCCTGAGAAGGGAAGCTACCAAGGAAATTGCCTCTTTCCATCCCCAGGTTCCTAGTCCATCTAAGGCTTGCTGTCACCAGGGAGCTGAGTCCCTGTCATCAGCTATGCTGCTGTTGGAATAAAATATGACAAGAGTTTCAATTAGCAGTCTAGAAGAGTCAGATTGACCTTCCATTTTTAGCAGATCAGTGTCTTTCTCTGACATCTCCTACCACCCAACAAATACCTGCCTATAGCAACCCCTACCCATGCCATGGGTCCTTTCAGTCACTATGTCTCCCCTGTTTGTGCAGCTGCCTGGAGAACAGGTCACACAACTGATGCAGCTTACAAGTTAACTAGAAAAAGAGGCTATTTTTAATTCAGATCAATTTTCTGATCTTGTTCCAAGCACAACCATCAGTCAGCTGTACCAGCATAATGGAAAGGGCAGTAGTCAGGTAGTAGTCATGAGAAGACAGCTGCCCAGGGCATACTAATACTAAAAGAAATGCCTGTCAGATGTTGTCCGACTGCTCAGAATACAAGACAGAAAACCAGCACTGAGCTAATAGGGCACGGAGAAATAATGGTGCTGCAAGAGAGCATGTAGTGCAATAAATCCTTTCCTGTGTCTCCTAGGCAGACACCTTATGGGTATTGTAGCAAACAATGAAAGTGCTAACTTTCTTTTAAGCTTTTTTTTTATTCCTGAAAGGTTTAAGCCTCACACAAGCCTGCAGCGGGACATCACAAATCTGCTTAACTACAGCAACCTGATGTACATATCAAGAGCAGAGTACTTACCTGTAAAAACGACTGGGGGACTTTTGCTAGGTCCTCTACATACTCCTTACAGGTGTAACATAAAAAATTCTGCAACATAACCAGTTGGACATGTGAGAAACAGACACAACTGCATAGCAATGTAAAATCAGATTCTGACTGCGGCTACAAATCACTGTGGAACTGATCAGGAACTGGGAACTGGAAGGACTAAAAGTTCTCTGAAGTCACCGAATTTGGCTCAGGTTCCTGGTTTAATCAAAGCCTGAACAAGGACACTGAGCTTGGGACCTTGCTAGTATTTTTATCTCTGTGTATTTCAGGAACGTGAACGATGGCTTGCCAGCTGGGAAATGAGGGAACACGACCCTTGTTTCCCTAAACGCGGTCGAAGGATTATTTCCTTTCAGGTAAACACTGTATCATTTTACCAGATAATGGGAGTTCTTGGAAGCAGAGCCGATCTGCTTTATCTGCTTTGTATTTTCTGTTCTCTCTGCTCCAGCCTAGCCTGTGCAAACTCCCCGCACAGCACCTCAGGCAGGCAGGGGCTCCCAGCCGCCCAGCCACCCCCCGGGCAGGCGCTCCCTCCTCACCCGCACGAACAGCACGATGGCTTTTTGCTCCCAGTACAGGGCCTTGAAGGGGATGCTCCTCCCGTCGCCGTCCTGCACCAGGCAGCGGGCGGCCTCCAGCAGCTCCCCGTGCTCCGGCCGCTTCCCGCAGCCCCGCGCGCTGCCCACCTGCTGCGTGACAGGGGGCGCCGGTTGCACCGCCATGGGCCACTGCAGGCCCGGCCCGGCAGCGCAGGCAGAAGGAAGGGGCTGGCGGGGAGAGGGGGAGCTGTGGGGCGCCGAGGAAGTGCCGGGGCTACGGGGCAGGGCGCCGCCTCCTTCCCGCTGCGGGAGCTTCGGAGTGCAGGGCTCGCCTGCCGCTTAAGGAGGAGTCGGGAAGTTGAGGCCTTCGCGTACCGAGAGGGTGGAAAGCGATGCCGAAACCCGCTGGCGGCCAGGGTGCGGTTTATTCCTGGAAAACGAAACAAAACCACACCGAGCCTCCCAGGAACGGTGCGCAAACTGCAGCACTGACAGCATTCTGTAGCCTGAAGGTCAGGGCTCTCTTTGCAGTGTGCCACAGCGTTTCATGGATTGAGCGAGCTAGAAAATTCTGTTCCTGAGGAACTGTTGAGCTGCTGCATCATTAAAAACCAGACCCAGTTTCCCTATTGACGGGGAAGCAGAACCCCAAGAGACCTTGGCAGGTGACGAGCATGGGATGTCACATGTGAGTGCATCCAGTGCACACAGCAATAAGTGAACAAATCTTAAGAAGAGCCAGCCTTCTGGATTGTTGTATTCGCTGAAAGCTTATGAGGAGGAGAGCACTTTTCTTTCCTTAGTGGGCAAAGAAACATCATAGAGAATGGGACTGTGGGGATGTCCAGAAGTTACTCTCCTTTATGAAGCTCTCTGACAATGTTGGTTCTAGAATGTCTTATGGCAAACTGTCCCAGTGTCTGTAATGTTAATGTTACTGAAACTATTGGATTAAGCCCATTGTTTTTGTATTACTAGGAGTTAGCACACAGAACAGGTTAATCCCCTTAATACACTATACACAGACTATGCCTCAGTTGTCCAGATCGTCTGTTTCCTACGCTAAATAATCCTTACCCCCTCCCCTTCTTTTTTGTTGCTTTGTGTTTGTTTGTTTGTGTGTGTGTGTGGTTTTTTTGTTTGGTTTGGTTTTTTTAACAATTCTTTCTTCTCCTATATCATGTTTCCTAGAATTTCTAGAGTACTGATCTTGTAATTTCCTCTGGACTTTCTAGAAAATTTCAGTCATTCTTAAAGTTCACTGCCGAAACCTAGACGCAGTATCTTAGCGACATGTTAGGTTTTCTTCACATCCTGGCTTTGCACATCTACTTAAACATGCTGGTATTGTGGGTGTGGTTTTTGCAACATCACCTTGACTGCTGTTCAGCCTGAGAGCTGCTATCACTCCCGGACGCTCTGCTCCAGACCTTCCCCAGAAGGGAGTGCATTACCACATTTCTCTTACAATACTTCGTGAAAGAAGTTCTCTCCAATGTCACAATGTCTGAAAAGTCAAATTAGCTCTATATAAGATATATACACAGGGTGATACAATGTAGTTGGCCCTCCAGTTGGGATACCTCCCAGCTCTGTTTTAAAACTCTTGCCAAAAAGGCATTCAGGGCATGTAAGATGCTTTGTGCCCTGTTAACAGCTCTGCTTTTTAAATACAATGTGAGAGAAAGTAATCCCTGACTGATAGCTCTTTACTGATTACCAGCACATACACACAGGTGTAACTATTCGGCCACAAGTATAGCCTTGTTGTTTCAGGAATGAAAGTTTGTTTTATGATATAGATCCAGCTTCTGGCTTTGCCAGGGTAACATGATTGTAATAATGGTACTTTACATCAGTGTTTGAATGTTAGCAAAGCACTCCTTGTGCCTATGCCTGTGTACTTTAAGGACTGATCTTGCAGTCCAGTATGCCCTTACAATAGCTTTGATTTAAAAGGCAATGAGCTTAAATTGGAAAAGTATTTCTAAAAATTATAAAACTTGGATTCTGCTAGACACAGTTGGACTCGGTGATCTCAAAGGTCTTTTCCAACCTAAATGATTCTATCATTCTATAAGAATTTGGGCAGCATTAATTCCCCATTGTTGTCATCAGGCTTCTTTGTTCACTTAACAGTTACCTGTATATGATGCTGTCAGACAGATTTATTCAAGTAGCAAATGTGAACCCAATGTGGGCTGTGCAGCACTGCTCTGTGACTCCTCTGCACTGGTGGGAATGGCCTCTCTTTCCTTAACTTCCACAGGACATAGAAAACCAGGAAGGGCTGGTCACTTTTCACAGGTTTTGCTCTTTGTCTTGAGGTTGAAGTACATAACTTTGCTGTATTACAGCTGCAGTAAAACCTCTGGGTAGTGGTGGGCAGGGCCAAAGGGCACGGCTCAGCACTTGGTCATCAGTACAGCTTGAACCAGAGGCCTTGCAGCTGCAGCTGGAAATCAGAGCCTGCAGGGGATGCAGTCGTACCACTACAGGACATTGCTGTCACAGCCTCTGGCTGGGAGCACAGACACGGATGAGGCTCCTGATGAAAAGAGTTGGGCAGTGTGGTGTCACAAATTCAAAGGACACTGCCCCAGCTCAGTTTGCGCAAGGCTGACCTTGTGCTTACAGTCCAGAGAGCTTGTTCTCACTTTGATTTGAAATGAAATTACTGAGGAGCCTAGCCTGCCTGGAGAGCTGGTAAACATTTCTACTAAGCCAGCCAAAACTGCCACCAGACCGTGCTCTTTTATGCTGTTTGGCCTCCTTAAACTAGAAGCATGTCCTTAACACTCGGCTACAGTAGGATACAACTGAGGAATAGCAGCTTTCCTCTAAGGCTATTTGCCAGAGCATTCTCTAACGCCCCTCAGACACCATGGTTCTCATTTTTGGTGTTGATTCTTAAGTGTTGCTAGAATAAAAATATAAATTGCTGTCATGCCCAGTTTCATGGAGAAAGAACAGAGGCAAAAGCAGTCGAACAGTGACATATCCTCTGAAAGAGGAAACATTCAAAATTAGCAGTCACTTTTTGAAAGCTGAAGCGTAAAGCCTTTTATTTAAGTATGTTTAGCAAAAATACAGATACAAGTTCCACTGACTTACATGGGAAGCAATCTACTGATATTCTGGAAAACGCTGACTATATAAGAGTTTAGTCTACTGAGCATATGGTTCCTGAAGGGGGCCATATTTAGGGAAACTTCCCCTTTTTTCCCTTCTCTTTTTTTTTTTTATAGCTCTTAAATATAGAAATGTTGATAACTTATAACAGAGTGATATCTTTTTCACTGTTTTACGGAGAATTAGTACATTGACATTATTAATCACAATGGACCATGCAAGATGCAAGTCACTTTCTTCACTGCAGTGCAGTTTACAGTTGTAAAGAGACACTTAGCTAATATTTAATTAGCCAAGGGTTGGGTTACTTTGTGATTTGGATGGGAATTCAAATTCCTACTCTTTCAAGAAGAAGAACAATACTTGCAGACTGATGTGGAATAATTTACTTGTTCTGTATTGACTAGTGAAACAAAATACCATCTGTAATTATGCAGCCTGAATTCCTTTATTTACAACAGCTGAACAAAATACCTTAACAGGAGGTGTGACTTCTATCAACATAATAAACACTCTCTAGACTATGTGGTGTGTATTTGTAAGCAACACATTATTATCAATTTACTTCAAGATGCATTGTTTACTTAACACAAGTATATTTGTTGTCCTCATTTATCTAAGTATTATATAGCCAGAGATAACGTGGTTATTATTAGCTAAAAATAAGCGTGTGCAATTCTAGAGTGAAAACATCATGTTAAGTGCTAGCTAAGAATAAGTAATTTTTAAGCTACTGTAATTAAAAAGCAGTAAAATGTGTACTGCCCTGTATATAAGACAGATTCTTCACTGTGAGGGTATTGAGATACTGGCACAGGTTACCCAGAGAAGCTGTGGCTGCCCCATCCCTGACAGTATTCAAGGCCAGGTTGGGAGGAGCTTTGATCAACCTAGTCTAGTGGAGGATGTCCCTGCCCGTGGCAGGGGGGTTGGAACTGTATGATCTTTAAGGTCCTTTCCAACCCAAACCATTGTATGATTCTATAATTCTATGATTACTTACAAGACTAAGGGCTTTGTAAATCTGGTTGCAGTCAGTATGTGTTGCATACTGATGAACTGTTGTTTCACAATACGAATAATGTAAATGTAATTAAAAATAGTTTAGTGATTATACTGACATATGGAGAGAAAATTTTTGTCCTGTTCTCAATTTTGTCCTGTTTTCCATTTTTAATTTTGTAATGCAAACCCTACAGAAAGACCAGTATCTACGGACTTCACCACACACCAGAATATAACAGTATTAAGTGTAATGCCCACAATTTGGTTAATATAGCCTCAAAGCATAGAGAGAGCCTATAATGCATTTAGTAAGAGCTCTCTGTATTTGATCTATTTTTGTTTTGCAGCTACCTACTCTGTGTGCTGCAAATGAAAAACAGAGATGATGCGTCAAAAATAGTAAATTATATGTGAAGACGCTGTTTAACTGCTTTGAGTGTCACTGGTTTGAATCTTCTTTCAAAGGACCAGGAGGAAGAAAGTCTGTCACCTGAAGAAATCACTACTTAAATGGATGAGACACAGTCAAAAAGCAAATAAAAGATATACTGCAATCCAAACTGGCCAGACATGTCTTACATCTTGTTAGCAATAAGGCTCTTAAAAAGTAAGCTAATTATCTCTAGTGTTTAAATTACAGTGTAGACTGGATCAGAGGATTAAGAGATGAAGAATGTGAAGAAAAGAGGACGTAATCTCAGGAAGCATTCATGTCAGATTAAGCATTGTTATTTAAGACTGTTGCACTGATGTCTTACAAGGTAAACAAAAACTTTCTTGAAAGCTTTAGATACTGTTTATTTTTTTGCTTTAAGCAGAACAATCTAAATTTTTTTCTTTCTTTCTCCCTCCTCCCACCCATACGACTCTACTATTTTTTTGCTTGGAAAAGCATCCTGTAAGAAATTTGTAGTTCCCAGCTGCTATTTCTATTATCTGTGTTCATAAAGAGCAGGGTATGTACTTAGCAGTGGATTCAGTTCAAATGGGTCTTTTAAATATGGCAACATTGACATTTAGCTGCAGTTAGAAATTCCCTTCTGAAGGCTAGTGAATAGTATAATGTATTTGCTGCAGGCTAATAACTTGAGCTGATTTTAGCACACACTTGAAACAGATCTCATTTCTTTCCTGGTATATAATTAAGAGTAGCATCAGTTTAACATCAGACATACATCTTGTGCCTCTTTGCTAGAGGGATCAATTAGGAACCCAGGCCAATTCCCATACAGAAGTAGATTTGATT